GATTCTGGAAAATTATGAGTGTAACGGAAACAGTCTTCATGTGTAATAAATAATGGGACATGACGCTTACGATATTCTATAATGCGCTGAAATTTTTATGTCGCGTCTTAATAATTCTATTTAGAATGCTTGAAACGTAAATAAATATTTTATTGCTATGCTTATTATTTTTATAATAATCTGCGGTCACGAGTAAGTGCAGGAGATGAAATACCTAACATATTTAAAACTGATATTTTGTGTAAAATACTACCTCGGAACTCGGATTTGATTTTCACAAAAAGTATAAAACTTATAACTATCGAAGTTATGCCTAAAGAAAGTGCGTTTCATGATAATTAAAATGAACAGGAATTGATTGACAGGGTTTATTTAAGAGTTTTCCAAAGAAGAGTCGTTTTTCAATTGTGATAATCGTAAAATGTAGTAAGAAATCACACGTCTGGGAAAACTATGAACAAAAACTAAAGAAATGATAAAAATGATCAAAACTAATTACATTTTATTATAAAAAAGAACGTTAATCGCACGTTTACCTACACAAAAAAAAAATCAAAATGTTAGCAGTGTTTCTTGCTATATTAGACAGTAAATTGACAATACTTTAGAATAAAAATTTTACCCATTTAAATCATCATGAAACGCATTTTCTGTAGGTATAACTTTTATAGTAGCAAGTTTTATACTTTTTTAGAAAATCGAATCAGAGTTATAATGTACCAGCGTCTCGAGGGATCCGTTTTCTTTGCGGTTGAGTGTAGATGTAAAATTCCATTTCCAACTGTAAGGACAGACATGGGTTTTAATAAATAATTAAATGTATGAAACGGAATCCAATAATAGCACTGATTATTAAAAGGTAAAGTAATTTACTTGACGCTCTCTATTAAAGTACTATTGTAATCAGCAGGACAAAATCCAGGACTATTAACTGGAATAAAATTACTAAAGGAAGTCACTAGTTTAAATTTAAAATTTATTTACTAGACCATAACTAAAATGATACTTTTTTTAAAGTTTAAAGGTTTAATAGTACTTTTAAGGTCTCTTTTTCATACAAGAGTGTACTCATATAAAAGATAAATAAATAGATGGTGTTGTGTCCTGACTACATAGTTTTAATGACTTCTCTACGGCGTCAAAAAGAGCGTAGTCTTTTTATTCTCTTTAATTACGGGAGTACACAACAATCAAATAAAAATAATAATTACGTAACGGCATTTTGAATTATCTTCTGTTCGGACTCGAGGCTGCTATTTGATTCAGCCAGGGGCACACTGAAAAGTGGGAAAGAGGGAAAAAGTCTAGAAGTAAGATGGGTGTCGATGTCGATCACGATTATTGACGATATATCTTATAGTCAACTTAGATTACAGGCGCTAACTTGTGGCATATTGTCGCATGCACCTTTGATGCTCTGACAACCTCGTAGCAGATATGGTGTAACGTTATCTATTTATGCAAGAATTATTATGACCGACAAACATTGTTTATATTTAGGTATTCCCGAAATGTGTAAAGCTGTAAACAAGACCGCGAGTGCGTCAGTTACCAAAGAATCTAATAATCAAGTCACGTTACCATTTGTTTTAGCAATAAAACGGCGCGTTAAAGTCACAAAACTAAAACAGTTGTATTAGTCACACCAGCGAACGATGTACGTACTGAAACTATTGTTTCGGCAATATGTTCGACTTGAGAAGCATACGTAGGTGTATTTGTGGAAGTACAAGTTTACATTAAAGACTAGAGGTTTTGCGAATGAACATTTGCTGCGCTAACGATGCATGAAATATGCTCCTAGGCGTACGTTGTACTTGTTTTATTTTGATCTCTCGATTGCATTATATGTATACCTATTCTCAGTATCAATGAGCACTTGCAAATGCTTGATTTAAACGAAGAACTATGTAAAATTCTCGTCATTATTCCTAGAATACAAAATGACATTCGCGTCATTGGAATTGTTTCTATCGTGGTACGTGACTGATCTTTAACGGCGGCTCTTTTGATCGGCTATCAATATTATTGAACCCGTGATTGATGTTCACAATTAACATAAGTTTATATTGTTTCATTCCTAACAATTGCTTATTTATTGATATACCAATGATGTCAACCAGAAACGTTGATTATTACAGAAGTATAATGCGTTATGCAATCTCTAACATAGATAATTTTATAAGTCAGCTGACGAATAGGTATTTTTATACTTTAATCGTACAGTGTAAGCTTCAAAGCAAATTATTGTAGCCAAATGATAAGGATGTTATAAATAGCCATTACTATGTTCTCATCATTACATAACCTATTAACTTATTTCATACAATATTTCAAAGTATAATTTAAATAAAATTTAAGTTATCACATGTAATTTAGAAAAAAATGTAATGAAATAGAAACTTTTCAATAAAACCTTAAGGGGTTTCGAAATGCTAATTGAGACAAGACAGGCCACGTCTACACTTGGTCACAACTGGCGCCAGGTCACAGTCAGTAGTTTATCGTAATAAAGTGATATACATCTTAATACGAACCTTGAAAGCTTAGAAATATGTAAAACCCTGTGCCGCATAAAACTTTTTGGTAAGCCAAAGAATCATTGTGCTGTCTCAAAAATAGGTTATCCGTGCGTATGTCGGTAATTACCTTTTGTGATTTTTTAATATCTTAAAAACTTTTATAACCTCTTTCAAAAGATAACAATTTTAAGGTAAATAAATTAACAATTCTTAGGTTAGATTGGTCTTGAATGGAGTTAAATAAAACAAAAAACAAACAACCCCTTATTAAGAATAGAGTACGTAGACCGTATTATGATATACAGTTACCTTATCCCATCGATTAAAATGAATCACTCAGATCATTGAACTTGTACCAAAAAAGGGATCGTTCGCAAATGAGCTTTGATTTCGATGAATGGAAGCTATCATTGAGGCTCGAACAAAACTCAAACAGAAACGTGTCAATCCAAAGAGGCAATAGCCCTGACATAAGTCGCCAAATGTAGCAGCCTGCCAACCTTGTCTTTCTATCTGTATGACTAAGGTAACATAGTACTATACTCAACCCTGGCGCATATCTGCACTAATAATATAAATACGAAAGTAATTCTTATTGTCTATTACGCTTAAAAACAGACGCAGTTTTGATGAACTTTGGTAAAATACTAAAGAAAACATTGAAGAAGGACAGAACCTTTTATTTGTGACGGAAACAAAAGATGAATGATGAAATAATTTTATGGTAAAATTAATTTATCTTTGCAGACAAGGACACAAATATCAGCTAGTCTATATACGGTATACTAGTATGAAAAGTTGTCGCTTTCCGCGTAGTCCGTATATCTTAAGTTTCTTTCTAAACCACGCAAAGGATTTTAATGTGAATTTAACATCAACTAGATAATTTTTCACGAATGGATAGTCTTCCTATACCAAAGCGAAGCAAGAGCGGATCACAAGTTTGCTATAAAATCTAGATAGTTTACTATCAGTATTTTCGGTGGGTATTTACCTCGTGATATCTTTATTTCGATGTGACAGCAGGTTGTTGTTTATTGTGTGTAATTATAATTTAAGTGCACAAACATAATTGTCAGGGCATGTTTATTTTTGAATAATGACATGTGTTTTAAGATTATTTGTCAATCAATCTTTATTTCTCTCTATAATTACGTTTATCTCGCTTTAGTCCGCAACACTGCTATGTTTATAGGTATTTTTAATTTCATGTAATTGACATAAAATAATAATTAGAATAAACACTTACTGCTTACAACCAACAAATCAATTTATCAAAGAAGTATTTTTTCTACAGACTACTTAACATCTTAGAAGTGACTGATACAAACTGTAGTGCTTGCACATAATCATTACAAACACCTTTCATGTGTCGAGCTGACTCTTGACAGTTGAATTATTAATGAGCAGACAATTATTTCATTTGTGTGTCTACAGAAAGTTCTCACCCACATCTTGAGAAATGGTTTATGAATGGTAAATTAGTTGAACAAAGTGGTCTTATTACAAGTTTTTATGCATCATTATCAGTATATATAAAAGGAAACCCTTGCTTACTGACTGATCGCCTCCGATTCCTCCCACACAGACCACAAACACCAATACTACACAGCTAGCAAACGTGCACACTAGCTTAGCATTAGGCAGACACCGCACCCGTAGGATAAGAGTGCGAAGACCCGGTTTACACACGACACGCTATACCAGGTACAGGTACGTACCCGGGCGTTTTTCCCCGCCCCCCACGACAACGGCTAACTAGAGCCGAGGTCCGAGTCTCAGAGACGCCCTCTAGTTGAGCCGACCCCCTCAGGTTCGAGTGGTCTGGAGGCTCCAGACGGAGAGGAGACTCCCCCCGTGGGGAGACGCCATCCGACTGGAATACCTCCAGAGGCACTAGCCAATTCTCGACTTGAGGTCCCCTTAGGATCTCGCCATCCCCAAACCCGGTGACGCTGTAAAGGTCATCTGCGACCAACAGCATACTCACTCAAAAAAAAAAAAACAGAATGATCTATCCGTACAACTGAAACCACTGAACGGATTGCGCTGAGATTATATTTTATGATAAGGCGCACTGCGCTAACACATTTACCAAAACTCATCCTTAAATGAAGTAAAACGGGGGTTCAAAGTTTGTATGATCCAAGATCTCGAAGTTAATCCTCTAATTAAAGTCGTGGGCATCCACTAGTGCATTACAAAATTGTCTAGTTTCAAGGTATCGATGGTTTTACTAAAATTATCCGATCAAAAATAGCAAAGAATCCTATCAAATAAAAAAGGCAGCTATCGCATGAGAGCAAAGTTTCTATAGACTAGGTATTCTCAGCCCTTACGAAGCATTCAAGAAAAAAGTTTGATAGGGATGCAGAATCAAAACCAAAAAGGTACCGTCTACGAAAAATTTTATACATGACGATGATGGTAATTCAAGAATGTGAAAAATAACAGATGCCGAATAATAGTGAAACTTACATCTGGATGTTCTTTGACTGGCACGTATACTTTTTCTGTGAGTGTGGTGACCATGCCCTCTGGTTCTGGCAACACGAGCGGTTCTTTCTTGACTCCATTTATTTGGAATAAGCTCGCTCGGACTTTTGCAATCTCTGTAAATAAAAAAGAATTTCCTCAGTAATGACGCCAACACATCTGCTACGATAAATTTTAGAGATAAAACATGTCAAATCAGTTAAACATTTCTTTAGTAAACCACTGAGACGGTTAATTAGTCAGTTTATTTTACCTAGATGTTACAAAACTCGCACTAAACATAAATATAGAACAGATTTTTTCTTTGACCATGATATTATAATATTAGTTACCTATCCGACAACAGTCAAAGTAAGATTTATGTTATCTATCTATGTGCTGGTAGGTAAATCAATTGCCAAATATTATGATGCTGATTTAGCTGATTTTTGTATTTGTTATGATAAGATTTGAAAGAAAGATTTTATAACATCCTTAAACTCAGGAATTGTGAGGGTACTTGAAAAATCAATACTATTTATTTTTTACGAGTAAATTGAACCTATGCGACGCCGGCACGCTAATTGTTTAAATATATGATTAAATGACTTAATACTATTTCTATCTTCAGTTTTTGATGTGATAATCTAAAGGCAATCTGCGTTATTTCACTACCCAAAGGCTGTAATAGTCAAGGCAGTCATGACATCATACCAAAGACATCTTATTGGTAGATTATGAGTTACACCTCAAATGATATGACGCACTGTCATCCTCTGGCCTCCCGGCATATGCGCTGATGCAATGCGAATATCCTATAGCTTCGTGACTGAATTTCCCAAGATTAATCTAGCTGGTTAAATCATGATGGAAGAAGTAAAACAGGATAGTTAGGAAACAATACTGTGGAACATGGATTGATGATCTCAAAAACTGATGAAATATTAGAGATATATGAAACGATATTCATAATAGACCATTTTATATCTTCTCATAAAATCACGAGTCATCACGAGAATCTTTTGTGTATTCGAAGTTCTAATTTAATTCACTTTAAATACATGAAATCTGAGAGACTATCAAACTGTAGAACTTTAGAACAAAATAAATAGTTTAGCGCAATAGAATAGCTTACAAAATAACGTACTTAACACAAAATTTAGCTCTAAGCCTCTTCGAATCCCCCTCGCAAATGAAGAATTGCTAAGCAAACTAGTGGTCTGGTTTTATCACCCACATCCAGATAAAGACACGATGACTCATTGACTAATATCCGTACCGCGTAATCAGTCGGCCATCTGTTTTTGTAGCATACATTAAAAAATGACTTTTCAAGAAGATAATATTCTATACATACTTACGGCTGCACTCAAAGTTGCTGTCGGTTTCTTTGCTATAGCATTAGAAAAATAGTAATAACATGTGCCTCTGACAAGCTTTCATTGCCGTTTCTGTGTGCAATCGCGATAAAGTTAATTTCATCTCGAAAAAAAAAACTTACATTCACTACAACATCGTATTTATATCTTGTTTAAGACATCTCGATTTCGATAATTTCTTAGTTTAGTTGCTACTTGCCAACTGCCATGAGTCAATTTATTAAAAAAGTAATATGCGCGAAAAGTTTTATTAAGTTATATAATTGCAAATGGTTTTTCTGATGAGGTTTTTGAAATATTTTAAAGAACCGAACTTAGTTTCTCTGATTCAAAATCGTGACTAATATTTTGATTATAGTATATTTGTAAATGTTGGTAACGAAACGCAAAATCGTTCGCACATGGACCTACATTGAAAGCAGATACTTCAATGTAGGTCCATCGAGGAACTGGCGACAATGCTGAGAAGCTTTCACGCCATATAAGGGCCGGTGAGTGAAGCCAGGACCGACCAGCAATGGATTATGTATTTAATTGCTGCCTTCTCACGCATATTGATGGTCAGAGATTTTTTAGGACGGAAAATTTTGGTCGTTTAAGGGCATGGAATTACGCCGACAGTTCATTCAAAGTTCAACATCGTCCGGTTTGAAGAAGTAAACAAGAAAGTTTGTATTGAGCTTCATACAAATTTAAGTAAGTTAGTAATTCATGATAATATCTTACAAAACTTTGCCAGTTGTTGTGGTTGTACTGAATTAATTGTTAATAGATGCCCTTTAGTGGAGTGTGTATTTGGTTTATATAACTATCAATCATTTTTCGTAGTTGACATACTTTATCAATTTGACGACTTATGAAACCTGATGGTCAATAGTCAATACTACAAGGTCTCGTCAACACAAAAAAAAACTCTTTTGAAAACCTATCGCGACGGACGTTGACGGGTGTCGAAACACTTGTAATGGACATCTGAACAATGCAGTCCGTATTGTGCTGGCAAATGAGACTTCCAAACAAAAACAAAGGCGGTATAATAGATGCTGTTTTGACGCAGGTGATTTTGGGGGCTGTCCGTACGTCCGTCACTCCAGTTATTCTAATTCTGATTTATGTTTAAGAATTCGACATGAACTAGTTTTTTTATGTCACTTTAGAGGTTGTTGTGGTTGCGCAATCGGAAAGTCTTTGAAAGAACTTCATGTTATTATGTATTATAATAATAGTTGTACTTAATGGATGATTCCAATGCTAGCAAGTAGACCCCAGATAAAATTATAAAATATTTTTAAACTTATTTGACAATACATTTACATATACACGCAAAGATTACGTCATTATTAATAATAACAAATTTAATTGAAAACAATTCTAGACAGTACGATTTACATGTATGAACTATAGACAGTGTTTTCCAACTTGAAAACTCATATTAAATATGCGCCAGTCGTGTAGCCGCAAACAGATGAGAATACTATAGGTAGATGAAGGTTTAAGTTTACTATTTAACTCGAGTTGCTTTAACCGCAATAGCGATCACTTATTACAAGAGTAATTCTAACCGACAAGGCTCCTTTTCATTACCCGAGTTAATATTACTGTAATATAGACCAACTTACAATCACAGACTAAAACCATTATAATTCTGCAGATGGTAGTTGTATGAAGAATATGAAATAAAAGGAAAGTCGGCACAAGCGTTATGGGGAAACGTTTGATAGTACTTTAACACGAAACCATTAAGAATGAATAAATCGCGCTGTTGCATTTGATATAGTAATACGAAAGACAAGTGATGTAAAAGTATAAGTTCAGCAATAGAAGTGTAACATCAATTAAATTTCTCTAGTCTGCGAATCAGTTGATTGTTCTATATAAGAAAAAAAATCACTTTTCAATTCAGTGTTGCTGTTATTATTTATTTGATTATCTTAATATATATAAATCTCGTGTCACAATGTTTGTCCTCAATGGACTCCTAAACCACTGAACCGATTATAATAAAATTCGCACACCATGTGCAGTTCGATCCAACTTGAGAGATAGGATAGTTTAAATCTCAAATTATAGTCGCAATTTTAATTTATTGCAAATTATTACTTTTGGGCGGTACGAAGTTCGCCGAGTCAGCTAGTATAAATATACGTATAATCTTTTAAGAAAAGATTAAAGTGGCATACCTCAATCGAGCTTAACATAAAACTCCTTTATAATTGTGCACTATCATAGAACGATTTTCTCCCCTGAGCATTGCGACAGTGAACTGTGTACGCTTACTAGTACTAGCTAATGCAATGCGATCTCACTTCCATTGTCAACGTTAACAATGGTACAGCATGCGTGTCGCTTTGGGTTATAATCCCCTTCTACCATATTATATTCTAATACATTTTATACGTAGGCTGCATTTCAATATTGAGTCAAGACAAGTACTTAGTGATTTGATTGCTTTGGATACAGATGTTTATGTTTATAATAAGCTATATAAAGTAAAGAGAAGAAAGTTTTAGCCTTTCTAAAACGTACCGTACGTAACTATTTAATACGCCCTATAAATTCTGAACTTGTAATGTAATTGATAAACTAACAATAACAGCAAAAGATTCATTGTCATAATCACCTTCGTTCTCGGTTCTACTATGCGATGAGTTAATTTCTTTCATCGTTGTTTCAAGTGTTTTGTAATTTAACGACGTAAGTGCAAGCAATCATAATAACACACATGCGTGGAAGACTGCGGTGATGGCCGTAGACGGTAAAATTATAAGTTACCGCGTTAATAACGTCAGTAGTTGTAATTTAGATCACGAACGAGACTTATGTTTGCACCCAGTAAACAAAATTATATTTAAATAAGACTGGCTGATCCTGGAGTCAAAATTTCCATCAATAATAATTCATCCAGTGACATATTGCATACTGGTTTACAGCAGTAAGTTTTTACTGTTTAAAAATTCAGTTAATGTCGGGATTTTATTTGTGTCTGCTTTATATATGAGGGTGAATTTAGAACAATATAGCTTTAGAGGGAATTTTCTCACGATGAGCGACGGTGCGTAAACACTCCGCCACGGTTAGTTTGCGTTTGGTAGACTTGCGTTGGCGAACTACAGAAACTTGAATCACGCAACCAGCAACAAGTAAGTAATCGTAGAAAAACATCAATGCAAAAAGACAATTATCAATCTCCCACATGTTTTTGTGATAAAGTACCTATCTGAAATTACTAATAGCCGAGAAGATAAACTTTAAAATTTTAATGTAAAGGTTGTGTGTATAATAAGTACTTATTACTACAAACTTAATGAATGATAAATAACCATCAGAGTTGAAATTACCCTAACCATCCAATCGAAAACGTATACATACAAACTTATACTCATAAGCAAACTTGAATATCAAGAAAAACCTGACGTACCAGCTCATATTGCATTTTATGCAATAATACTTAATAAACATTTAAACGAAGATAAACTTATAATAAGGAATTTAATATGAAACGGTTAAAAAAGTTCAAAAAGTAGTGAAATAATCTTCCATTTTTAGGGTCTAAAAAGGGTAACAATACAATCACATTACTAAACTTCCGCTGTTTGTATTTCATGAACCGTAATAAACAAACATCGAAAATTTTCATAGAATGTGTTTGTTTCTAATACCGCTATAATGACAATTAATAAAAATCTATCTAAACATTAAAAAGTTACATGGTTATGTAGGGCATACAATACTTATTAAACATATACTTATTTTTAACG